AAAAATCGAACGCAAACGAAAGAAAAACTCGAACATCGTATCGTAGAAAATGTATTTTATTTCTTTTCCGAAACCGCGATCGAGCAACATGTTTTCGCGTTTTATCGCCATTTACGTCGCGTCGTGGGTTTGCGTATATTCCAGCTCGGTCATTAGAGATTTCGAAAGTTGACGGCTGTGGTTCACGGACCTTTTTATTACCAACTTAACTGACTTCACTTCTATGACTCATCGTTTCCTGTCCAATGCTATACGTACCGTAGTAACGCGTTGTAAAACGACGTAAAATTCAGCCATCATCGGAGAGCGTGTTGCCGTCTGTCGTCAGATATTGATAAAATATGAATCTCGTGACGCGAAACGAGTCTTGCAATTATTAATATCTCCTCTCTATCTATATTGACCGTTTTAGCTTCGTTAACCCTTTGTAACCCGCCTTTTCTGTGCTTGCCAACGCAAATTGATTAAGTATTTTTAGTGGTACTTGTACTTTTCTTTACTAACTCACCGTCACTCTATCGGAAATAGTATTTTAAGAAAGTTTTTTTAAACGATGTTAGCCTGTGTTTTTATTAAATTTTATTATCGATTTTTGAAAGAGTTGCATTTTTATATTCGTGTGTGTAATATAATATATATTTCATATATGTGGAATGAGAAGTAGATATTTTGTATGTAACAAATTTATTTAAAGAAGCGTGACTTAGGGATGCAAGTTTGAAATATTTTAGGGAAGTTGTAGAATAAGGGTGATTATGAAAAGTGACAAATGTTTGGAATAGTTTCTTTAATTGTGAAATTTGTTTATTTCTTTATGTTTGTTAAAATACAGGAATTTCAAGGTATGTTGTCAAAGCTAATAGTGTCTATCGAAAGGTTAATCAATATAATTGGTAATTAGTAATAACAGATTAGTCATAAATTAATTGTTACAATATAATTAATTATATATCATAATTTAAAACTGTTAATTAAACTAGTTTAATAAATTTCCAAATTTTAGTATTACTAAATTTCCATTACAAAATTTTTACATTCCAAATTTACAAATTACCAAATCTTTAATTTCTCAAATTTACAAATTCTAAAATTACTAAATTTTCATTACAAAATTTTTACATTTCAAATTTCCATATTACCAAATCTGTAATTTCTCAAATTTCTAAATTCTAGAATTACTAAATTTCTATTACAAAATTTTTACATTCCAAATTTACAAATTACCAAATCTTTAATTTTTCAAATTTCCAAATTCTAAAATTACTAAATTTTCATTACAAAATTTTTACATTCCAAATTTACAAATTACCAAATCTTTAATTTCTCAAATTTACAAATTCTAAAATTACTGAATTTCCATTACAAAATTTTTACATTTCAAATTTCCATATTACCAAATCTTTAATTTGTCAAATTTTCAAATTCTAAAATAACTAAATTTCTATTACAAAATTTTTACATTCCAAATTTACAAATTACCAAATCTTTAATTTTTCAAATTTACAAATTCTAAAATTACTAAATTTCTATTACAAAATTTTTACATTTGAAATTTCCAAATTACCAAATCTTTAATTTCTCAAATTTACTACAAAATTACATACTTAGATCCTTAAAATTCAATAATTTCAAAATTAAAAATTCCAACCCCAAATTTTTAATTTTCCAAAATTCCCAAGTCCCATTTCGAAAAGTATAGTTACAATTTAAAGTTTATTTAAATTATATATTATATAAAAACTTTCTAAGTTTTGAGCCTCTAAGTTAATCCGTCCCTGCGTTCTTCAGCTCTCTCTTGGCTCTTAGTTTCTCCCTAGGACCTCCCTGCGGTCTTCCTAAATTCGTTCTAGATATACAACTTTCAACGTTTCTATACAATAAAACTTTCGTTCGGTATTTAAGTATAATCATAAAATTATCTCCAAACGTCAATTCAATTTGAATCTTAATACTATTCTACTTTCTCTTAATTAATTCTCAGAAATGACTAATCTCTGACTATTAATAAATTTCCGGTTATTAAAGTATGTTATACACGCTTAAACTACTTATTAATCGTAGATCTATTAACTGAAATTTGATAACTGAACAACCTATTTATTAATCAAAACTTATTTATTTATAATTTATCTAAAATGTAGTTTAAAATTAACTGAAAGCCTTTTAATTAAAATTATCGAATCTTTTAATTAAAACTATCGAGTCTTTTAACTGAAACTATTTATCAAGTCTTTTAACTAAAACTATTTATCAAGTCTTTTAACTAAAACTACTCAATTAAAATTTATCGCCCGAAACTGCTTTTGAACCAAAACTTAAAACCAGCTACACATTTTTCCTCTTCTATAAAATGTCTGGTGTTGTATTAGTTTTCGTAATCGTTTCAAATTTTTCACCGTCAACGTAGAAGTTTCAACATGTAAGCAGTTTCTGTAAAAGGAAGTTACGTAAGGTAGAAACAGTAAGGCATTACATTACTAACGAAGAGACACGAATCTTGTGCTCAAATACATTTCGTAAATATAACAGGAGAGAAAGCAGGTTGGACTGTCTGAATCATTAATCGACACCGTGAGCCGTTGGACGTTGTTGGAAACTTGAGTATCATCGAGTTGCGACGTCTGCATAAGATAACGTTATTTTACCACTACATCTAACTGACAAATGTTACATTCGTATTTTACGTTGCAAAAGTTATCGAAGAGAGCGGTCATCTTAATTTAAAAAAATGGAAGTGTCGATGAAATCCGAAATTCGTTACTTATAGGATTGTTATAAATAAGCAACAGATGCTTATTTAGTCAAAGAAATTATTTCTAAAATTTGAAGTTTTTAGTTAGGTAGGATTTTTTCTTTTTAATACAATAATTATTAGGAGATTATTATTCGAATGATTTTGGATGTTTTGAAATGAACTATTTGATTTGTGTCAGTCTGGTTCTGTGGTTTTCTATCATAACTTTACTTATACTGAAAATGTTAACAGGGTGCTTATGCAGCAATATTCAGGAACTCTTAAGCTTTATTTTGATGTATCATAAGTGTTATTTCACGATACTTTTATGTCATGAAATTGTGTTAGACTTTATAGCTTCAAGCATCAGTCATTAGATATGCAAAAATCTAATAACTCCTCTACTTTGTAATTTTGTTTTTGGTAGCAGTATTAACGAGTCCTTTATACAGCAATTTTTAGCAACTCTCAAGCTTTAATTTAATGTATCATAAGTGTTATTTCGCCTTACTTTTATGTCATGAAATTGCGTTAGACATTATAGCTTCAAAGATCACTCATATACAAAGATTAGATTACCGAGTTACTTATATAGTAATTTTCAGTGAATCTCAAGCTTTAATTCACTATATCATAAGTGCAATTTTGAGATACTTTTATGTCATGAAATCTTACAATTACATTTCCTACATTTTGAAATTGGTCAGTTATAACAACATTATTTACTGCATTTAGCAATTAATCATTTTGTATTAAAAATATTGGTAGAAATTTTACATATAAATTTGTAGCAAATCTCAAGCTTTAACACTAAACCGTACAATATACACTTACTCTGAAATTAAAAATAAAGTTGAAAAATAAATAACCAAATGATTAAATATAAATTAATATACATATTAATTCTTCACCTTCATGAAGATTAGCAAAGATTCTAAAGAAATTGTCTTAATAAATTTTGTAAATAAAAATGAAAAACTTGTAAAAGGGATATTTTATTTTTCTAGTAGCTTCAGTATTAAGAAGTTATGCCATAACTGCTATTTCTTAACAATTTACGTCATGAAATCAGTTACGTGATAACGTAATCTTCAGTAAGAGTGGTTGTCAGGACCGCTCCCTTTTTTTGCGCGACACTTTTTCATCGTCCTCCTCCGATTATTATTAACATTTACCGATAACTGCATCAATCTTGATTACAGGAAAAACTCGTTTGTTATATAATTAGAGATCCATTGACGTAATAATCATTTAGCTAATATTTTTGGCTTCATGTATTTGATAATGTCATCATTCGTAATTATTTAAATACCATTTGACGCGTAAATTGAACACGAATATGCAATGCGTTTCTGATCTGGTGAGACAACCAAGGAAGTGAATTTAATTAAAAATATAATTTAAAAGCACACGATAAAATTGCGCGACAGTTGGATTATTTTTGAGAAAATTAAATTTGAAGTTTTGTCGAGTATTTGTAAGAGAATTCATTTCAAACCAATTTAATATAATTCAAATTTAATTTTGCTTTACTGAAATTTTAACTTAATGTAACTTTCATTTAAATGTTTAACGTTATTTTAATTTAAGTTAAAAATTGACAAAATGTTGACTAATTCAATAATCAATAAATATAAATCAGTAAATAATTAATATAACTGAAATTTATCTCTGTAATTCATTATACATATTCGGACAAATATGTCTCATGTCATCGACTAAATCCATCACGTTTTAATATTTATTTGAGTAATATTGTGACAATCGATCATAAGCTTCAATAGTATCAATGACGATTTGGTCATTTATAATAAATATTATAAATGTTTCATTCCTCGTTTCTTGTGCAATCAACAAATTTTACAAACACAAATTCTCAACATCATTTTTCTCGACAATAAATCTGCAAACAAGAATAAACCAGCTTCTTTCCAAGCAAATTGCCTGTAGAATTGTAAAATTTTGCGTCATCAAGGAAATTCAGAAAAAGTACATCAAGAATAAGGAATTTACGACAGCACGATTAAAAACTTGTGAATAATGGAACGCATACGATGTAACACATTTTAATTGTTAATACGTGATCATGATTTTTAACCGCCGTTTAATGATGAAATGTACACTCGATGTTTCCAAGAAAAGTAACGCGAAGGTTTTTCTTCGATTGTGACGGTAAATTATCGTGTCAGCTTTTTGTTTCCTTGCGATAAGTTAATTAATGCAATCATAAGCTCAAACTGTGTTTTCTTTATCTGTTTTCGCGCAGAACCGAGGGTAGAACAATGAGAATCAGCGAAGGAAATCCTGCGGGGAACGCAGGGTTTTCGCCAGAACCGATGACCACTTCCACCGGAAGTTTGGACGACGGTTCGCCGACAATTCAAGAGGCTTCCCTTCCTTTGACCACATTTTCCGTCGAGGATTGTGTTTACAGAGGCGAAGGGAATGCTAATGTCGTTATTGCACTGCCTCAAGTAAGTTCAGCTTTTTCGTAATTAAATTCTGTAGAGTTAAGCACTTTAACCATTCCTGTGTCGAGCTACACTCGACATCACGTTTTCCATACTATCAAAGCTAGATTCAATTTTATACAATTTATAATTACCATAGTTCTTGTATTTGTCATATACTGTATAATACTAATGGTACACTAGTAGAGAAAAACTGTATAATACTAGCCAAGATAAAAGAGGCCCGGAGATACGAGATATTTGAATTGAGCGCTCGAGAGGAGTCACGTGATTTCAGGGCATCTTTTATCTTGGTCATCCAGTATATGTAACTACTGCGCATACGTTAATGCGCAGAAAAGTTACATTTACACTTGTTTACCCTATGTGCACTCAGAACCTTTGCCAAACATTTAGATTTTGAAATTTTTTAATTTTCAAGTACTTAACTCACTAAATTTCTTAATTCGAAAATCCTTAAATTCGCAAAAATCAAAACATATAATATTCCAAATGTTGAATCTTATTTTGGAACTTATAAATCCTTTAATTCTCAAATTTTTTAATTTCTTAGTCACCAAATATTAAAATTCCCTAATCTCCAAATCTTCAAATTTCCTAATTTCCAAATATTCAAATTCCCAAATTTCCAAATCTTCAGATTTTCAAACTCTAAAATTTTCAAATTCTCAAGTTAACTACTTGGAATCGTGAAACCGTGAATAACAAATATAACAAAATATTCTACAAATATTTTGTAAAATTTTTTAAAAATTTAAATATTCCTGTGTGGTAGTCAACGTGTTTCAAGCAAAGCAACAAAATTCATGCTATGAATAGAGTTTTACTGTAATTGTAAAACTTCAAGTTTTAGGCTCCTAGATCTGCATTTGTTCGTTGGTCTCCACACTACAGGCCACAATTTTGAGTCTTTTAACCTGAAATTTTTAGAGTATATTCGTGAGACACTCTAAATTTGCTGTATAGATTTTGGCCGCAGTAGGAACCTGCCGTCGATGGTCGTCGAATCGATAAAAATCGTGTTTTGGCATTGTTTTCGATAATTTTTCACAACTGAAAACATGTTAAAAGCTCTATAACTGATCGTTGGGAACAATATTTGGTCGTCATTGACGTCAGTCGGGAAATCGAGAATAATCGTGTTTTGAATTGTTTTCGCTGGTTTCAGACACATTTAATCATTTGGAGTCTTTGAAATCTTGACATCTCTTGTTCTAACTATATGTTTGGAGTGGGTACTCTAAAATTTAAGTACACATTCGAATTCGTGTGAGGTAGACCCGCTAGAAGTGTTAAAGATTTAATTATTAGCACTCCCGTGTCGAACGTGACTCGACATCACATTTCTAACTTCAATGTCGAAATAGACTCGACGTTGTACAACGCAATTTATAAAATAATTTAAAACGTTTAAATACAACTTTTTGCTATTTCCTTAATTTTTTTCTTACTTCTTAATAAGTAGTCTTAAATGAAGACTGAATTTGTCATATTTCGTCTTTCTATACAGTTTGACGTCGTTATTATTATTACAGAATAAACACAGTAATTTGTAGTACATAGTAAATAAATATAGAAATTCATATTATTTTTCTTTGTAAAGAAAAACAAGGACTGTGTCTATATAGAAATTTCTATAATTATGTTGACGATATTATCACGTTTTGCAGAATAATATCAAATCCAGAAGCGTTAGAACACTTCGTCCCTTAAACTGAATATCCTTTTGTTGTCAGTGAAGTGTGTATGCCAGCAACACATTTAGTCTGCCACCTCGTTAGCTAACTCCGTTGAAATATATTCGCAGAGAACGCGAATCTCTCGTGAGCATCTGTTCGTTTGAAACTCGTGAACATGTCACAAACATACAGCTCGTGAGTACGATAAACCGCGTAATCTACTCTCAAATATGTATTAGCTACGTTTCTTAATAGGCCGACATACACGGTGTTTAGTTCATCCCTGTTATTTTCGACTGTGTAACAAAATTTTATTTAATTGAAAATAAAACTGTTTCGTTTTGGCAGTTTGTAAAGATATTTTATTATTTGTTGGGTTATATGGCTAATATTAATGTATTTTGAAGTCCTCAGTATTAGCTAATTTTACAGCTAGAACAGATCTTAAAGAAAACTCAAGAAATAAAAGAAAACATATTTCGGAAAATTTCAGAAGCTTGACACATGTAGAGACACACCTTTTTTTACGGTCCTAAACTAAGAAAAGCTAACATAAATACATTGCGCCTAAATGTACAAACATGGTGACACATTAACACACGACAGGAGGCGATAACGTTATAATGTCACGCCATTGCTGTTTGTTTTTCCGTTTTAAAACAACGAGCAAATATTTTGCCATAATACACGAGAACATAACGCACGTATCTTATTGCGCATTATCGTTGGCCCGTAACTGTTAACGCTTATCTTCGAATCTATACACGCAACGAAAAACAACGATTCGAATATTATTGTTTGCCAAAGCTTTCGGAATTTTCAATATTTTTTTTTTTTCGTATTAATCGCTGAAGCAATTTTCGAATAATGAGCGACTGACTCACGGTGGTTATATTATATTGTAATATCATGATGGTGACTCACCTGTATGCCTAACGTCAGTACACAAAAAAGAACACGTGATTTCATCGTTTTCCTAATCTTTACGAATCTATTAGCGCTTGAAAAATTTGAACGTATTTCGCTTCGAGGAAATTGTTATTTTACGTAGAAGTTAACGTTTTGTTAACAGTTTTGCTTGTCTGTACATGTCTACCTATTCGGTTATAAACAATTTAAATCAGCTTAGAGTTCGATTTATTTGCGAGCCACGAGACAATACAGAGCAAAGGTCATTAATTAGTAATCTATATTTTCTTTTTTTCACTAAACGATCATGACACAGAAACGTATCAACAATGAAATATGGATAACGCTTGTTCTTTTATAATGAATTTTGCATATATCTTCTCGATGCTCATTGAAACGTCATTGCGTCGAAAAAACCTGTAGAAATAATTGCAATCGAATTTCCAGAATTTATTGAATCACCTGTATTGTGATAACTCTTTTAATCAGTTTCGACGCGTAATTAGCATTTGAATTATTCAGATATTCAGCTGTACGGTTGTTAAACATAACTGAAGGTCTAATGAACACAGCATTTATTTTTTATCTTTATTTAACAAATTTGTAAGTATAATTTAGAATACGTTTGATAATAAAAATAATACGTTGTAGTTAAGCAGTGCGTACAAGATAATTTTAACAACTGCATTAAATATTTTATTAATTTACTTCATGAAATATATTCGAAGAAACTATCTGATAGTAATTATTGATAATTGTTTAGTTATAAATAAATGGATTTTTATGAAATTATAAGTGAAATTAAGTTCAACTACAATTTAGCTACTTACTCGGGCGCGAATTTTTATATTAGCAATTTGCGAACCATCGATTTGGTGCCGGAGTTTGAAGCTAGCTTAACGCTGTATGCCGCAATGTGCGAACTGCGGCTACTACGCACGCGGTATCGCGTGCACGGAGATTTGCTACTATCGCTCGAATACGCAATATCGCGTGAGCGGATTTTTATTATCGACACTTGATCGCCTGATGTTTATAACATTAAATTACAACCGATATTAAGCACATAAGTTTTTAATCTACGAATTTTTGTTTACAATGATAAGGTGATTTACGAATTTTTCAAATTTCCAACTTTTCGGATTTTTAAATTCTTAAATTTTTTACTTTTAGACTTTCGAATTTACAAATTTTTAAATCCTTAAAGATGTAAATTCTAAATTGCCGAATTTAAAAATTTGGATGATTAGATACTTGGAAATTTGACAGTTTTGGTATGTAGAAATTGAGAGATTTTTGATTGAAGGAATAATGTAGGAATATTAGGTTTTCAAATTATCATATATTATGCTTTCAAGTTTTCAAATTTAATTTTGTGCGAATTTACAGATTTTTTATCTTGTTAATTTAAATATTTTAGGATTTGTAAAATTATTAAATTTGAATGTATAACAATTTCCAGACAATTAAGAAAATTTAAGTAATATAGAAACTTAGAAGTACTATAATAAAAAATGTTCGAATTTACAAACGTATACAAACAGAAACTTCAAATTCCTAAACTTAAAAGTTCCATTTCAATTATTTCGAAATTTAAAAAAGCACAGATTTGAAATTTTCAGTATTTAAATTGAGAAATCGATTGACTAGCCTGCGAGTTCGCGCTACTTGCACATTCGTGCACCGCTCAGTTCCTCTTCACTAATCTAAAATTGCTATAAAACAAAAACGAAAGAGAGTTAAAAATCCAATAAATAATTGGCATGTTAACGACCGAGCATTTAATGATTAGAAGATGACCGAATGGCGGCTAAAGCACTACTGAAGCAATTCGTATCGCATTGGCGTCGGTGCGCACACATTTCTGCGCACACGTGACCGAGATAAGAAAAGTCTATAAAGAGGGAGAAGGATAGCAGAGCTATGGCCGTTGACCTCGCGATCGCGGGGCGGAAGGACGGTCGTTGGTGGGGGGTCTCAGCTGTTCGAGTGGGGGTCTAATGAATGATCGATGAGCTTTACTTTTAAGAATTACAGAAACTATCGACAAGAGCGATTCGAACAAATAATAGAGATAATTAATGAGTAACGACATATCCGTTTCAGAATCCCCTGAACTGACGCTGATCAATGTAGAATTAATAAGAGAAACTTATTTTTTACGGTATTTTTCGAACTGTGTTAGCCTACGTAGGTGCTTAGAACAAAAGTGTGTGACGCACAAGGAACTTGCAAGCCACGTCAGCCGACAAATGAGAATAGTCGATATATCGATTAAACTTTATAAAAGCTGGCAAACACCTGAAAAAGTTCACATGGACACTGCAAAATCAGATGTTTAATGTTCATTCTTGTTCGAGTCCTTTGACATCGCTTACCTACATTCACTTTTTAGTCGATATTACAAAATTAAACTTACCTTCGTGTTTGGACGTTTAGCTAGAAAGTTAGAAATATAGAATATTTCAGTTTTCAAATATGTAACTGTACAAATTTAGATGTTAATAAATTTTTATGTGGAAAACTGGAAATTTAGACACAGAAAAATTTGAAATCCAGAAATTTCTAGATTTAAAAATTCAGGAATTATGAAACATAAAATTTACAAATTTAAAAATTTCGGAATTTGGAAATTTAAAGATTTAGTGTACAGAAATGTAGAAATTTACTTTAGAGTGGTATTGTTGAGAGTGAAAGTGACATTACCGCATCAGTCACAAAGCATTCGTCACGCGAAGGCTAATAATGAAACGACAATTTAGTTTAATGGCAACGATATTTTTGATATTGACAGAAAAGCGTCGTGAATGATCAGTTTCTTTCTGCAGGTGATAAAACTCATTAATGATGAGGCTAATTACTCTATGAAACACGACGTGTATACCGGTAATTAATGCCACGTCATTAAGGCAATTCACTGATAGTAATTGAAGCTTGCTGCGCAATGGAAATTGTGGTTTACCGCGATATGAAATGCCTCGTGTCGACCTAATTTCTATTTGTTGACGAAGTCTGCAACGTTAGCCGAAATTTTTTACTTTTTATTTTAGTTCACGCCTTTTTTCGCAACCACATTTCATTTATTAGCAATAGCTTTTATTAAAACTGATTATTCGCATCGTAGAGCAATTCAATTGTTTTTGAACTATTATTTAATAAAAAGCAATTTTAAAAATTATAAACATTTTTCAATATTATACTTTTTGAATTTTCAATATTATATTTTTTTAAAATAAAATAATGTATACGAGTAAATTTACTACAATCCATTGTTATGCATAAGGTCAGCTTAAAATACTTTCTTGACGAGTAAAAATAAACTATTTACAGAAACAATTTACAGTGTCAACTAAAATATTAATAATAGATGAAGTATACAATTTAAAAAAAGAAAACACGAGTAAAATATTAAAATTCAAGGGTATAGGAATCTAATAATAGCAATCATGTATGATGTGTTAAACATTCATTACAGGCATTAGCCTTAAAGACCAGAAAATAGCAAGGTGAACAAAGAACGTATTATCTTCGATTTCAATATTTTTTTCATCATTGACCTACATATTTTCTCGAATGTCATTGATTTACGGATTTACGATTGATAACAGTCAACTATGTTGCTCAAGTATGCATAACGCGCAATCATTGATTGCGCTGCAACATTATGCTCAGTCAACCTTCAAGCTGTTAATTTTATTCTGCTAAAAAACTTGAGACACACGGTGCAAAATATTTTCTACTCATAGCAGGAAGGAGTTGTGAAAGAATATTAAAATATTTAAATATGAATGTTTCATGAGTTACACACTGTACTTTAAGATATTCTATTTACAAATATTGTAATTTGAAGTATTTTAATTCTAATTATTCTATTTTCGAAGATTCTCAGTTGGAATATTTTAATTGATAAACTAATAAGGATAAAAAAAGCAGAATCGGGATTAGTTAATTACTTTATGTATAAAATCATTTAAATACAAATTGTACAAATTATCATAGATTGAATTTACAAAATGTATTGAACGCAAAAGTATTATTATTGTGTAACAATACAGCGTTAGGAAATATGTTTGATTTTTCGAATGTAATTTCCATTTCTTGCAAAAGCGAGTCAAATAGCTTCTAACTTCTTCAACCAAGGTAATAATGAATATTCGGGCCTCGCCCAAGCAATTTTCGCAACACGCTCTTCTGACTTTTCCCAAATACTACCCTTATCTACCATAGCGGATTTACTATTAGACCAATCCAAAGGTCCCGGAGATCAACCAAGTGGTTCTCCGTCCACTGTCCCTCACTACCGGAGACGTTCGTCATCTCCCTGTCAGGGTCATACCGACCTCAGGGTGATACATATGTTACGGTGAAAGACCGAATATTTTATTACATTCTTGTGAATTCGGACCTTCACCGGGAATGTCGACAATCACAGATATGCTCTGGTGGAGGTCCGAAAGAGAGGAGCCGACAAAGAAGCGATTTGGCTCTCTCCTGCCAAATCGTGTGTTCTGCTGGGAGTCAGTCAGCTTTGTCAATCTTATGCAAGCTTTGATAATGCGAACAACGTTTTCTTAATTTTTTTTTCAATACCGTAATTTATACTGAATGGATACTGCAGTAAATCGTGATCTTTTTCTTGAAAAATTAAATGCATTAATTGCGGGTAAACGAGAAGACAATTGTTTTTATTTTTCTCAAGAAAAGTACTCTAAAATACTTTCTGAATTGGTTTCTGCTAAAACTAAGTGCAACACACCTTTGGATTACAGACGATTAAAACGTTTTGACGTTTTAAAAATTAATGATGAAAGGAAATTAATTGTACCATTAAAATCAGGGGAAACGAATATACAGTATTATGTTACCAATGAAAAATTGTTCAGTATACTATATGAAACTCACGCCAGAATAGGCCACGGAGGAAGAACACGTATGCTTAGAATGTACTATGTGTTTTAAATTCTTGGTCTCTCCTCTCAGAAAGAGAGGCGAAAAAGTTACGTCACCCTTGTGACGTTTTATAGCGACTGAATTATGGAGAAGAAAATATAAATCTCCAACATGTTCAACATTCACCATTAGTGCATGGTGAATGTCGACATTCACCGGTGTAAGTCCGAAATATGGGTATTTAGCAAATATTTCGGACATACACCAAGCGACTATGTGAATGTCGACATTCACCGGTGAATTTCGGTCTTTCACCGTAACACATACATTACCTCCCCTAGCCGTGGCTTGAACGGCCCCACGTTCGCCGGAGCACCCCTGTACACGCAAGGAGATCGCCAGCTAGGCATCGCTTCTCTGAAATTTATAAATGCTATCTCGCTCGCTCTTTCTTCACTCTCCGTTACAAATAAACTTATTGCTACCTTCGCAATGACAATACAATCGCACTCAATTCGCAACATAACGAATAACCATGGTTATTTTACATTCAGAGCATGCATAACCCAAACTTATACAATTTCACTTAAATCTAAATAAAACTAAATAATTATTCTGGGAGTATTTAACAATCAAAATATCTCACTTTAAAAAATGTTAATTTCAAATGTGTTATTTCAAAACACTCTACATTGAAATATTCTTTTTGCAGAATTTTAATTTATAAAATTCTAATTTGTAAAATTTCATTTTTTTTAACATTCTATTTTCAAACATCAAAATATTCCACTTTAAAAAATTTTAATTTGAAACGTCCTATGTTAGAATACCCTAATTTGAAACATTTTATTTTTGAATATACTTATATTCATCATCTGACACTCATCTCGTTATACAATCTCCTTTCATTCACCACTATTTTTCTTATTCAACCCAACATAAAGGTCATGGTATCATAGGTCATTAGATTGCTCTTGACCTGAATCATTACGTCACAAAGATAGAGATACATTCAATCGAAAAAACTATTGGCACACCCAGTTCCATTGAAATATATAATTGTAAGCATAGTTCGAAATATTTTAATATGTATGAATACTGTGACATACAGGATATTCCATTCGAATGAGTCAAAATGCTGCATTAAAATAGTAAAGTATATACCAAAAATTTCATTACGAAGAATTAAATTCTTTTAAGCAACGTATCGCATGGTTCATGTATTATTCTATGTACAACACATTCTTTTATTTTTAAACTTAAAAGTGTCTGAATTTGTACACTCTCAACTGTTTTCAGTTTAAAATTGATGGAATCAGAAATTTCGAAATTTTCAAACTCTCAAGTTTCCATGTTCTGAAATTTCTATATTCTCAAATTTCCAAATGCTTAAATTCTCAAATCTTCAAATTTCCAAATTCTCAAATCTCCAAATTTCCAAATTCTCAATGCTCCAAATTTCCAATTCTCCTAATTCCCAGGTCTCCAAATCCCAAGTACTCAAGTACCTAAATCTACAAATTCCCAAATTTCCAAATTCTCAAATCTCCAAATTCCCAAATCTCCAAATTCCCAAACCTTCTAATTCCAAATCTCCAAATCCCCAAGTACCCAAGTACCCAAATTTCCAAATTTCAAAATCTACAAATTTCCAAATTTTCAAATCTCCAAATTCCCAAACCTTCTAATTCCAAATCTCCAAATCCCCAAGTACCCAAGTACCCAAATTTCCAAATTTCTAAATCTACAAATTCCCAAATTTCCAAATTTTCAAATCTCCAAATTCCCAAACCTTCTAATTCCAAATCTCCAAATCCCCAAATACCCAAGTACCCCAATTTCCAAATCCCCAAATCTCCAAATTTCTAAATTAAAAAATCTCCTAACATCAAATTTTTCACAACTTCACAAATTCTGAAACTTCTACATCCCTAAATCCACAAATCCCAAATTTTCGAATATCCAAATTTCCAACCTCCATTCTCATCAAACCCGAATTTTGCAGATACCTAAATTCCTATACGAATATAATTACCTTAATAAATTTTTCTGAAACATTACACGTAAAGCAGAACGTTTTACAACGTTAGAATAAAAATCTGCATTCGATGAAATATTTCGTGAACAAATTTGTGAAGTGTAATTTGATTTTCGTGGTCGTTTCGTCACGCTTTTGTCCCCCTACGTTTCAGGAGCGTAAAGTAATTCGATTCCGGAAGTCGCCGCCGGACGATGTTTCACCGGATGGCGGTGAACAACGGACCGAACGAGAAGTGAAATTCGTGAGATTCGTGGCTTCCTGCTTTTTGGGCCCATACACGGAAATCCCTGAGATACTTCGTTACGATATGAAAGATATCGTCATATTATCTGAAGCCATCCGAGCACTTCGACCAGGTAAAATAATTACGCTATATTGCAGTATAATTACCGTGTAACGCGCTATAATGAAACTTCTTAACTTGAAGTGCAATCTTAGATATTTCTTTCTACGTACTTTGTGGTATATTTTATGATATTGCATATGTTTTGTGGTATATTTTATCATTTTTTATATATTAGGTTGGGGAATAAGTTCGTGGCGTTTTGACATTTTCTTTTTTTTACAGCGACATTTTGCAATTTGCAAGGAGTTATAATATTCATTCGATAGAGCTCTTTCTGTTCTACAAAACTGTGTTAATCGTTTTTTTCAGTAGTTTCATTCGTTATTACAATTGAGGCTCAGAAATGGAATATCCAGGAGGTAAAAATTAGCACTTTCGACACCTGCTCTTTTTTGCTTTCCAAAAAGCTGCTGAAGCAGCCCGGGATATTTCCAATGTATACGGAGAAGGTGTCATAGGTGAATCGACAGCACGGAAATGGTTTGCAAAATTCAAAAATGGCGATTTTAACGTCGAAAACTCGCCCCGCAGCGAAAGACCTTCTGAGTTCGACGAAGAGCGTCTCCGAGAACTTATGAAGCAGGATGGTCTTCAAACTAGTCGTGAATTGGTCGAAAAAATGAACTGTGACCACAAAATTATTCTCAATCATCTCCATTCAATGGGATCTGTCGAAAAATTAGGACCCTGGGTGCCTCACAAAGTGAACGCTACGAACTTATTGCCCAACCTTAGGTTGAATTTTGCAAACCATTTTCGTGCTATCGACTCACCTATGACACCTTCTCCGTATATATTGCAAATATCCCGGCCTGTTTCAGCAACTTTTCACAACTTTTTGGCCGCGATAGAAAGCGAAGAAGAGCAGGTGTCAAAAGTGCAAATTTTTACCTCTTAAATATTCCATTTCTGAGCCTCAATAGTAATAACGAATGAAACTACTGCATTTCTGAGCCTCAATAGTAATAACGAATGAAACTACTGAAAAAAACGATTAAACAGTTTTGTAGAGCAGAAAGAGCTCTATCGAATGAATATTATAATCTCTTGTAAATGGCAAAATGTCGCTGTAAAAAAAAAGAAAATGTCAAAACGCCACGAACTTATTCCCCAACCTAATAATTCAATTTATAGTCGCATTAATATGATATATTTTATGAGTTTGTATGAACTTCATAATATATTTCATTATTTTGTTATACTTTATAATTTTGTGTATATTTTGTTATATACTTTATGATATACTTTACGAGTTTTTATATACCTTATGATATACTTCATGAATTTATATAATCTTCATGATAACCTTCATGATTTTGTATATACTTTATGATTTAGTGTATACTTCTATCTATACTATGATATACTTTATGATATATTTTAGGAGTTTGCTTATCTATATACATAAAAATGGAAGTTTGTTTATACGAAATTAATAGACTTCGACACCGTTTGACCAATCACGGTGAAAGTTGGCACACATATGTATTTTTCCATGGAAAAAGTTTATAGGTACATGAAAAATGGGCGGGGCAAGAAGGGACGTGGCAAATCAATAAAAATGAAATAGTTCGGTACATAATAATCATAGACAGACATAATTTGGTGGGTATGTACCTGAGGTGGTTGTCGATAATCCTACAGAAGATGGACTTTAAGTTAGTTTAATTACAGAGCGAATTCTTAATAAAAAAATGTATATCATCAACTTATACCAACATACACAATGAAATCTCATCAGTACAAGCTATCTTTCATTTTTCAACATCTTTCTACAACGAATTACAGATTCTAGGTTACATACAGATAATCCATTTTTATATGTACGGAGGTCAATGAATATGCACAGACAGGGCAACGTCTGCCGGATTTTGCTAGTCCTTTAAAATATTTCATGATTTTTAATATACTTGATGATATACGTTATTTTGTATTTTTATGAAATACTTTGTAAGTTCGTACATACTTTACGGTAACGAAGCTTGTTTTTATTTAATTAACACATTCGATGTTAGGGTAACAGGTGCATCATGATCGTGATAAGACAAGAGTGGAAAAAATGTGTTGGATAGGAATGTAGGGTAATCAAATGCATTGCAGTTATCGAAACGAATCGGATCAGATCGGGAAAAGAGAACTGATGGAGAGGGGAAATTTGGATAATTATTAATTTTCACATTTACCAACTTTAATAATTTACCAAATTTAATAATGGCAGATACAAAAATGTCGAAGTATGAAAATTTAGTGAGTGATTGGATGTTTTGCAAATTTACCAATTGCAACATTCCCTATTTCTAAATAGACAGAAAAAATATAGGAATTTTAGGAACTTGGGAATTTATGAATTTTGGAAATTTGGTAATTGTTGTGGAAATTTGAATATAGGGATATAAGAAATTCCCAAGTTCCTAAAATTTCTAAACATCAAAATTCGCAAACTTTCCAAATTCCAAAAATTTTCAATTTTCCAAAATTAAAAAATTTCTAAATTCTCAAGTTTCATAATTTCGAAAATGTCCAAATTTCCAAATTCCAAAATTCCCAAATTTCAAAAACCTAAATTTCAAAATTTTCATTTCCAAAACCTCGAATTCCAAAATCTCAATTTCCAAAATCCCAATTTCCAAAATCCCAAATTCCAAAATTTCAATTTCCAAAATATCAAATTCCAAAACCCCAAATTCCAAAATTCGAAATTTCAAAATCCCAATTTCCAAAATTTCCAAATTCCAAAATTTTCAAATTCCAAAATTTTCAAATTCCAAAATTTCCAAATTCCAAAATTCCCAAATCCAAAATTCCAAAATTCCCAAATTCCAAAATTTCCAAATTCTTTAATTCCAAAATTCCCAAGTTTCCAAAATTAAAAACTAACAATTCCCAAACTCCCAAATTTTGGAAACTTTAAAATTCTCTATATTTTCTATAAATGTTTTGTCGAACTCCTATTTAATAATTAAAATGTTAATTCCAAGTAATCATACGTTACCATAGCACCGAAACAAAACTGGTTTGACGTATACACTCGTCGTCACATGGTTAACCGGTTAAAAGTTTCATCGCTTTCTACAAATATTTTATCAAACTCATATTTAGTAATTAAAATGTTAATATCAGGGTTACAAGTAACCAATGCGTACAAGGTGTGGAAAGCGCAGCTGTCCATCGATGGACTTATTGTTCGTTAAAACGGCAGGTGTACGGCGTTACTTGAAAGTCTGTAGATGTTGCTTCAATTTTTATTGAGCCAGTTAAATAATACGCCGTTTTTTCCTGCGTGTACACCTGTTGGCTGCACCTTTTCTCTCCGAAGAAAAATGCGTGGTTTATATGCGAAGACCTTCCAGTACCCCGAGGTTCTCGCACCGATGAAATCTCACCCGGCGATGCTTTCTCGACTCCAATTCCGCCAGCAAAATTCAAATATTTCGTGAAACTTGATTACGGGGATGAATTTCAGCCCTGAAAAAACCCTGCATGAACGTGGAGCGATATTTCCTGCACGGAAGATTTCAACCCTTTATTTTTTTATTTTTTAAAGAAATACATTCTTCGACTGACAGAATAAGAAATACAAAATGGTTGTACATTAATGTTACATGAAGGTGTACATTAAGGTATAAGTTTTTTCGGAATAACATATTTATGTCTGATACGAAAAACAATTGCTTAATGTTGGTTTGTGGAAAGGCAATTTGCAATTTCTTGTCTATCTTTTTTATATCTGTTGTTTCTCTCCGTTTATGTAACAAAAAGTTATGTGCCTTTTTTGTTATTTGTTTGTACAACTACAGTGGTCTGATTTTCGCAAAATAATTAAAAACTAATTTTTTCTTTAGGTGCAAGGTGTGAAAATTTAAAAGCCGTATTTATCGTATTTTTCATTTAAAAATCTTTAATTTTAGAATTTGAAAATGCGGGATTTGTAAATTTAATTTGTACTTTCATTTTGTACACTTGTGAATTAAAAATTTTAGAAGTATTATTTATAAATTTAGGAACTTCCTTTAAATATTCTCGACTTTATTAAAAAATCGGAAGAAGTCTGCAACTAATATTTTGTACACTTGAGAATGCAACATCATTATTTTACACATATAAAACAACGAAGTTATTCAAGTTCATTTATTTTGTACGAAGTCACTTGAAAAGGATGGTCGCGCCCACCCTAGAGGACGACGACGACGACGTCGTCAGACACTCTCGAAAGACATTAAAGACCAGCTTCGGGCACGTTCATGCCTCCACGGAGACGTTCACACGTTCTATGGAGAAATACACATACGATCAGTCACTCGTACGAAAAGGGCACGACCCGAGGGCAACATCCGTCGAGATCTCCTTCGGGAAAGCTGATGCACGGCCTATTGAGTCACCTCGTTCGCCAGACGAGGTCACTTAAAGATCGTTTTCTCGCGGTCTATCCCCTTTCTCGAAGAATTAATTGCCTGCCCGGAAGTTTCAAGATATTTGTACAGTGTCGATCAAGCGGAAGATAGCTACAAACAAAAAGGAGAAGGGCAGGTGATCAGAATGGGGTATGCCACCACAGACATTTTATTATTAATGAAACCACCTTGACGCACTTGGGCAAATTCGTTCGAATTAAAAATGTATTACTACGCTGAAGTCGTATTGCGTCACAAAGTAGTGTAATCGCTATAACTAGGGACAACCCGGATATGGAATTAGTTCATGAAAGAATATAATTCTGTGATTATATGAGAAAATTTTATATAGCTGAATGACCACATGTAAGCCCTCTAACGTCTGAGGCTATATTAAAAACATTTGTAAATAAAAGATATACAGAAACTTTTCAGTTTATAGACGATGTTAATGGCTCCACATGTTTTATATTCAAGGTTCGTGAATTTAACAAAGTATTTAACCGTCAGGCGGTTTCGGGGATCATACTCATTTATCTGGGGACGAATGCAGTTGTAACTTTTAAGGAAATCTATATTGACATACAAGGTGTTACCTGTAACACTACTCATGATTTTT